GGTGGTCCTGCGTGCATTCTCAAAGGCATCAGCAGTGTTATAGATGGGGTGTCTCCAGACCTCCCAACTGGAGGCCAGAGCAGACCAGTTATGATGATCAACATGGCCAAGGCTGAGATGTTGTTTCAGGGAGTTCTTGTATCTTCTCTTCGGAGCTCCTCTCTTGCAGCAGCCGGTGGCAAGTTCCCCATAAAGCAGGATCTTAGGGAGGGGGTGGTTGGTCCTTCATCCTGGAGACGTGCCCTGCCCATCACAGCTGTGTTCTCTGCAACATGGCCTCAATATTTGTGATTGCTGCTTGTTCTAGAACAGATGTATTAGCCACATAATCTGATCAGTGGGTGTTTAGGATTGTTGATGGAAACGTTCTAGGAGACGCAGGTGGTGGTGGTAGATGACCCATGATGCAGATCCACGTAAAAGACTAGACAGCACAGTGGCTCTGTAAACACTGATCTTCGTACTTTTCTTCAAGTGTTTATTTCGCCAAACCCTTTTATGGTTTTATGGTGATACACAGGAATAGTAAAAAGCTGATATCTGGCCTGAGAAATTGGATCTATGTGCAACATGTCCGGGAATCCCGTGAGACGGGGTGTGCACGCTCCTGGAGGCAAATCCAGGGAGAAGACCAGCCCATTCATTGAACACACCTTGATAAAGCAGTGCCTGGCGAGCACCTCTGGGCAGTGGCAGCAGAGCCTCTGACGCTCCCGGGCACCTCACCATGCGGTTTTCCAGGATAAGGATACTTAAAATTGCCAAACCCGTGATTTGCCTCGTTGTTGTAACATACTTTTGCATCTTCATTGCCAGTTTCATCTCCTTGGAGAAGACAAGGATTTTCAGGTAGGAGACCTGCTTCCTCCTGATATGCACTGTCTGGGCAGAGTACTTGTGCTCGCTTACTTTCTCTGCCTCTCTCTTTTTCACCCTAAAACTTGCACTGCTGATCTGAGTTAGGTGACCACTTTACTTTAGCAGACCACGTTCAGGCAGAGCACGGTGTTGGAAGATCCACAGATCAAAAACCTACTTCTGCTGGCTCCCTAGTTTCTCAGGTTTGCTTGTGTAGCTGTTTAAAGCACCCTTTGCTTTACTAATACTACCTGCTTTCACACTTTGGCACTGCACAGTATTTGCTTTCGTAGTGGCTCCCCGAATGACTTTATTCAGCCCTAATCTAGATTGTATTGCTGGACAGGGAATTGGGTTGGATGCCTTCCAATTTCTAGCGAGTCCAGCAGCTGATTCCTAACACAAATATGCTGCATACTGGGAGACCAGTGTCATGCAGACGTGATCCATATATATATATATTTTAAATAAATAGTCAAGCAAATCCTACAAGAAGGGGTGTGGAGGGAATTGCAGTGTAGACTGCAGTGAAGTGTCTCCAGCATCATTGGCAGGAAGCACTGTTCCTTGGATTAGCCCTGCAGACACTTGAGCCTTTCCTAGAAGGAGCATGGCTCATGGATTTGTTGGTTTAGGTTGGACTTGATGATCTCAGAGGTCTTTTCTAACCTAGTTGATTCTGTGATTCTGTGGTGCAGTGTGCTGTGTACAGGAAGCACCACTCCCCAGCCTCCCCACCACCCTCATCTGGTCCCAGCTCTCCCAGTGAGCTCATCTGGCTCAGCTTGATGGAGTTTGTTTTCAGCTGGATGTCCCAGGGCTGATGCTGTGGGGGCAGGCAGGAAGAGTGAGGCTGGGAACATCTGCATCCCTTCTGGAGGTGACTTGAGTTTAGCTCAGCTCTAGCAACTTGAGACCACACCTTGAGGGCAGCTATCAATTTGTAGAGGTTGGAATCTGCACCAGGGAGGCAATGGGGGAAAAAGGAGAGAAGGAGGAGGTGTAGAGAAGTGAAGTGAGTTGTCCTCGATCCCAGAGCCCATCAGTGGGAGAGCTGGGACAAGAACTGGCTCTCCATGCCCAGCTGCTTGAAGCTGTTTAATTCTGCCATAGTTTCAGGTGATGGAAACGCCTGAAAAGAATTTACTTCATTTTTGCAACTGAAATAAAACACAAGGTACGAGCTGCCTGTGGTTATCTGTGTGGCAGTTCTATTTCTGTACCTTTATATGTAACATAAAATACACAAAGCAACATTTTCGTGGCTTTATCCTCTATCTGTCCTTGGGCTTTGTAAAAGGAGAGGAAATGACAGTAAGTGTCATTGAGCTTCTGCAGTAGTTTGCCAGCTGGACTCTAGAGCCTGAAATTGGATGAACTGCTTTGACAATTTGTCTGAATTTAAAATGCTGGGCAGGAGAGCAGGGTCCTGTGTAGGCACGAGTGTCTGGCCATGTGGGCAAATGTAATAGAGCTGGGGTGGAATCGGCCTTGTGAGACAGCACATGGGGAAATGGAGAATGGTTTGTCATACTGCCCTGTTTCATTCGTCATACCGCCCTGTTTTACTTGTTTTCTGCCCTTTAATTTCAAAGTTTTAAACGTCATCTTAAAAATACAACAGACATTCATCAAGGGATTTAAGATCTGCCTGAGCTACCTTACCCAATATCTCTTTACTTAGAGTGTACATATAAAATCTTTCCTCTTACTGGGCAGTAAACAGCAACGCAAGTTTATACGTGAAGCGCGAGGATAGAAAGCTGTAGTGGGTTTCTGTGGCTGGGTTTTAGTAGCAGTGGGGCTACAGGGGTGGCTTCTGTTAAAAGCTGCTGGAAGCTTCCCCTGTCTGGTGGAGCCAATGCCAGCCAGCTCCAGGGTGGGCTTCCTGCTGCTGGGCAAGGCCGAGCCAATTAGGAATTATAGTAATGCCTCTGGGATAACGTATTTAAGAACAGAAAGTTGCTGCACAGAAAAAATTCCAGCCAGGTAAGAGCCAAGTGAAAACATGTGAATAACAATGTAGACACCAAGGTCAGTGCAGAAGGAGGGGCAGGAGGTGCTCCAGGCCCAGAGCTGTGGCTCCTGCAGCCCATGGTGCAGACCAGGGTGGGGAAGCTGTGCCCCTGCAGCCCATGGAAGACCACTGGGGTGCAGAGACCCCCCTGCAGCCCATGGAGGAGCCCATGCTGGAGCAGGTGGATGCAGGAAGGAGGCTGTGACCCTGGGGGAGGTCCAGGATGGAGCGGGGTCCTGGCAGGGACCTGCAGCCCATAGAGAGGGAAGCCCAGGCTGGAGCAGGTTTTTCCCAGGTAGGACTCGTGGCCCCTGTGGAGGACCCATGTTGGTACAGCTCATTCATGAAGCACTGCACCCCATGGAGGAGTGACCCATGGGACAGCAGGTTGGGAAGAACTGCTGCCTGAGGGATGGACTCACACTGGAGAGGTCCATCAGGGACTGTTCTCTCGTGGGAGGGATCCCACAGGAGCAGGGGCAGGACTCCAACTCCTCTCCCTGAACAGCAGCAGAAACAACTCACCGTGAGCCCCATTTCTGTCCCTCTGCACCTCTGGGGGGGAGGAGGGAGAACATGGAAGGAAGGAGGGTGGGGAGAAGGTGTTTTTAAGATTATTTTACTTCCCACTCTTTTGCTCTGACCCTGTTACTAATAAATCCAATTAATATCCCCATTTTGAGTCTGTGTTGCCCATGATGGTGATCAGTAAGTGCCTCTCCCAGGTCTTATCTCAACTCATGAATCCTTTGCTTTTTTTTCCCTCTCCTCTGTCCAATTGCAGAGGGAAGTGAGAGAACAGCTGTAGTGAGTACCTGTGAGAGAACAGCTGTAGTGAGTACCTGTCATCCAGCCAGGGTCAACCCCCTACAAAAGCACATTCTACACTCTTGATTATAACTAATGATTATGAGAGAAGTGGAGCTGACAGGCCATGTTTTACAAACTCTCTCTTTTCTCATTGCAAAGCTTCCTGTATTTATCTGATACAAAACAACTGTTAAAAGCCTCCTTACCTAATAATTTCCTGAACACTATCAGAGTGTTGTGGCATCCATCAAATTCCAGCAGCAACTGAACTGTTATCTACAGCCTGTTATCTGAAGAAGTGCTTTTTTCCCATTTATTACCTTAGAAGCAAAGACTGAACATGAGTGTGAAATCAGACTGCCACAACCACGATGGTTTATCCTAAAAAGCTTTGCTGTACATAAAAGCTCAGCTGCAGGAATTTTTCACTTTCCTTTTTCCTGTTCCACCCTCCAGCCATGTGCAGATAAGAAGGAATGTTTGGGACAAAACCCCACCACTTCTGCCCTGGTTTTTCTGCTGGGTTTCAGCCCAGTCTTGTTGCAGGTGGCTCTTCTGCTGTTGGCAGATGTGTCCTCCTGTGATAACCTTGTACCTGCCTGTGCCTCTGAACCAGGCAACAGGGCAGCTGCAATATTAGAGGCAAGTGCTAAAAATGTAGAGATTTTACATTTTAATGGTTCAGGGTGTCTGCCCTAAGACACGTGTACCTGGTGAGTGCTGTGTGATGCCATTGCATTAGCTGACTGAGGAGGAGGAGGAGGAGAGGAAGAAATGCCCTGTAGCAGAGAATGCCCAAATGCTCAAGAAATGATGTAGGGTAAAGGAGGGAGTTTCACTTCTTCTTAGACTTCCCTTCCTGAGTTCTGGAAGATCTTCCTGCTCTGTTGCTGAAGCACAGAGCTCTGCTGGCAGAGGAAAGAGCCAGATGGCTGCCTTCGTGGTGTGTGCCATGTCCTGAGCTCAGGATCTCCAAAACAACAGTGCTCTGGGGACTTTGCCAGGGGTCCTGCCCAGTGCAGGGCAAAGCTGTGCTGTACTGGTTGCTAGTGACTGCCAGTGTGAATGTTTCTTGAGCCAAGTGCTGAGAAGAGGAGTGTGTACCTCTGGGATTTGCTTAGTGGGGAGATAAGCAGAATTCAGGCCAGAATGGTGTAGAGGAAGTTGAATAACACTTTGGCAAAGATCAAAATGAAATTGCTCTAAAGCACAGAGAGAGGCTCAGAGTCAAGAGCACTAAAAATGGGCTGGAGGGTGTTCGGTGTTAAGTGGAAAGTGTGTGTGATGTGTCTGCTTTTTCTTTGATTGCATTCAGGAAATTGAACATTTTTCAACATGCCCCAGACACGCAACAAGTGGACAACCGAGAGCAACAGGTTTTAAACTGTTCTGGTAATGGGAACTCCAGGAGGTTTTTAGAGGTGACTTTGGGGAGAGACATCACAAAGCTCAAAAAAGATGTGGTGGCGAAGACACCAAGGTGGAAAGGAAAGGAGGAGGAGAAGAAAATGATGGAACCGCTTACTGAGGTTAAGGAAGCCAAGGAGAACATGGTTGTGAAACCACCACCTCAGTTGGAGGGAATCAAGAAGACAACAGTAAAAACAGTCCCTGTGGTGCAGGGAAACAAGGAGAAAATGACAGTGAGACCAGCTCCAGGGATGGAAGAAGCCAAGGAAAAGATGACAGTGAAACCCCTTCCCAGGGCACAGGAAACCAAGGAGAAGGCAACAGTGAAACCATCCTCTGGGGTGAAGGGAGCTCATGAAAACAACACATCCAAAGACCAATCAAAACCCAAAGAGCCTCCTGTGTCAGTGAAAACTGTAAGACCTGTTCCTCAGGCTGCTGCAGTGACAAAAAAGACAAAACTGAGCGCTGCTAACTACACATCTGAGCCACACTGGGATTTCGAGGACAAGTACCTGCTGGATAACTCCTCTCCAGCATCGGTAGGTGTGATGGTGTGTATGTTCACCAAGAAGGCCTCCCCACTGACCTCCTTGTCTGCTGTCCCCTGGGCATGTGTGCCCGTTGCAGCTGAGGACGATTTTTGAGCTGGTAGGTCAGCTCACTGCAGATGCTGGTGGGACCCAGACAGGAACACCTCCTGTATGACTCAGCCTGGCCAGTCCTCTGTTGTGCTTTAGTATGGGAACTTACTGCAATTCATGTGTTTCCATAGGTTCATTTGGAGGTCAGCCTGTACTGGATTCCCTGTCCAGCAGTGATTTATTTATGACATTGAACAAGTTGTACCTTTTTTGGTACCTTTAAAGGGAGTGGTAATGGTGATCTAATCCCCCATGTTCCAAGGTGCTCCCTGAGGACCTTGTGAGGTGGGTTGCCAATGGACACTGCTTATTATAGCATATTATTACTGCTTATAGCCTTATTTGCTAAGTTCAGGTTAGACCTATTACAGATATTAATTTGCATCAGTTAATGAGGCCCAAAGCCAGTAAAACATTTAAGCATCACAGGCCTCTTATTCTGAAGAGGAAAGTCTTGGAGACTTGGAGTCATTCTGGCTCCGTGGTAGGCGACTTCCTGCCAGGTAGTTATGGATGTAGTGCTGAAATTGTGCTTCATGTTCAGGGTGATGGGGATGCTGAGTGGAATGACTGATGTACCACTGGAGTTTCTGTGTTTCTCTCTGACCCTGTCACACACAGGCACAGAAGCACTGGCACTCAGTCAGGTTGATCAGCTCTCTGCTCATCAGTCCTTATTGTTTTCTTTTTGTTTTTCAAGACCTGCTCTGAATCAGTGAGGGCCAGAGCTGCCAAGTCTGACTGGCTGCGGGATCTCTTCCTGCCCAACATCATGATCTTCACAGACAAGAGATACTTCAATGACAGTGAATGGAACCGCCTGGAGCATTTTATACCCCCATATGGCTTCATGGACCTGAATTATTCACGTGAGTCCCTCAGGGCTTGTCAGTATGGGACCATCAGACTCCCAACAGGAACATGATGCCGGAGCTTTGCAGCATCTCCCTGTCAAAGGCTAGGTGGACCTCCTGGTGGAAACTGTGGTGATTTCACTGTGTCCATCCCAAAGGCTCTTGATAACTCTCCACCATGTTTGCTTCACAGTGGTGAAGGAGGTCATGTCCCTGCTGCCCCCGAATCCCCACCAGCAGCTGCTCCTGGCCAACCGTAACAGCAGCGTTCCAACATGCATCAGCTGTGCTGTCGTGGGGAATGGAGGAATACTGAATAACTCTGGGATGGGCCAGGAGATCGACTCCCATGACTATGTCTTCCGGTAAGGCAGGCTTCCTCCTCAGAAGATGCACAGCTACCTTAACCTAACAGCTACTTTCTGGGCTAGCAGGCAATTGTGGCTGCATCACTTCATCTCTTCTACTATTGCACTGATTCCCAAGTGCCAAAACGACTCATGGCGGGAGGAGACAAAAAGTCAAAAAGTAATTGCGAAGTTCCTGAACACCCACAGCCTGTGTTCACAACTGAGCCACAAAGAGCCATCTCCAGGTCTCCAGAGCAGGGGCTCTCCTGCCCATCAGGGTGCCTCTCAGAACAGGCCTAGTCCTCCCTTCCTCCAGACTAACACTACCTTTTCCTGTTAGGAACATGGACGTGAGGGTTTGCAGCGGTCACCTAACTCTGCTCCTCTCATTTCCTTGCTCAGGGTGAGCGGGGCTGTAATCAAAGGTTACGAAAAAGATGTGGGAACAAAAACCTCCTTTTATGGATTCACAGCCTTCTCCCTGGTTTCCTCTCTTCAGATCCTGGGACACAGAGGGTTCAGCAACATCCCCCGGGAGAAAGTAAGTCAGGTCCATGCTGTATGAATGCACAGCTTTGATGGGATGCTGTTTGTCTGTGGCCTTCACTTCTGTTCTTGCCATGCGTGAGGAGCGAAGGGGCTGAGCCAGAACTTCAGCATTTCCCTCAGTGAGGGAACCTGCACTGCCTTGGCTGGGAGTATTTGCAGTGGCAAGCTGTGTCAGTCCCACCCCAGCCTTTTGGCATGCAGAAGTAGCTGCACATCAGAGGTTATCTCCATTCTGCTTCTGTGGCCTAGTTGAAAGCTGCAGACTGAAAATGTGTGCCCAAGAAACTCAGTGAGCCTAGATGTCTGCTTGCATTTGGTTTTTAAAGAAGATGTCTGCTTTAATTTTGTTTTAAAGTGCTGTTCATTAGTGCTCATTTGTTTTCTTAGCATGTCAAATACATTCACTTCCTGGAGGGTGCTAGAGACTATGAGTGGCTGAAGGCTCTCCTGTTCAACAAGGACATCAGGAAAGGATTCTTGAACCTCGGCAGGTAAAACAAACTAGCCCCCTCTACAGCCTGCAGTGAGGAGCTCTGTTTTGCCCTTTTCCTCTACACAGTGCTCAGCCCTGAGGAGGGGCAGGCCAGGGTAAAGCCAGGCTAAAGCCTCCCTCCCGTGGCATATCTGTTTGGAGAAATATCTCATTTCCTCCACAGCTCTGAGCACTGCTGTAACCAATACACCTCCTTCCCAGAGGCAGCTGATTTCAGTGGTGTGTGGCCAAAGCTTGGAGAAAGTTTTGTGGCCCTCTGGGATGAGCACATGCTGCTGTCTGGTTTGATGTTTGTACATGGTGTCCTGCTCATGGATGAAAGCCTGGTTTCACCAGTTCTTGCCTATACAAACATGTGCTTTTTGGTATTCCTGTCTCCTGTTGTTGCCTCTCCTCCCTGATCTCTTCCTCTGCAACGCACACAGGCTATGGAGGCTTTGTCATAATCTGGGAAATGTTGCAGAATAATTTCACAATGCTTGTGGGTTCTTTTCTTACCACCAAGTGCTGATCCTTTGTAGGATCTCATCCTGAGTCTCCCCATTCCTGTCTTTAGGGAGAAGCCCCGGCAGAAATTTGACAAAGATTTCACAATGGACAGATACCTGGTGGTTCACCCTGATTTCCTCAGATACATGAAAAACAGGTGAGCTGGGGGTTATGTGCTCTAATGGGCTTGTTTTTTCTGGCTGGCACCATCTCTGTCTGTCTCTGGGCTCTCCTCCCAGCTCTCTGCTCCCTTGTAACTGCAGTTCAGCCACACCAGCAGCCTGGGGTTAAACTTCAGCAGTGTGCACTCAGCTGAAATTCTCTGTGGTGCTGCAGTGGGATGTTAGTGGTGGGTAGTCATCCAGAATTTGTGAGCTGGAGACAGTTTGGCTTTCTGCAGCCAAAAGAGATCTGGGCAAATGGCAACTTTAAATGTGGGAAGAGTGTTGTTGAAGTGCCAGAATAGTTGATCTAGTTCAGGACCAACCTTTCATATTCCCCATTTCTGAGCACCTTGGAGAAAGGCTCTGTAACAGACCTTCTCTCCAGAGATTCCTTCTAGACCCCTGAGGTTGTTTGTCCCCTCAAACACCATAATAAGCCCTTTTTCAGATCCCCAATTGCCTGGTCTGGCTGCTCTTCTGTGCCTCTCCAATCCTGTCCACAAGCCTGCTGTCACTGAGATCTGCCCATCGTGGGCCACACGTGACTGAGTTGTAGGAACAGGAGCTCCTGTCGTGCCTGCTTTGGCTGCCTTTACCCTTCAGTCTCCTTGAGAGCTGCATTCTGCCTTCCCTGAGAGCCAGATGGCCAGCACTCCCTGCTCGTTCTGACGTCTCCCCTCTGACTTGGGTCCTTTCCAAGGCCATGAGGACTCAATGCTATTTTTTCCTGGTGTGGACTCCTGCTTTCCAAACAACTCCTGTCAAAACACAGGTTATGCAGCTCCTGGCAGGTTTTGTGACCCTCCTCTGCACCTTCCCTATGTCTTGTTTCACTCTTAGATGTAGATGGGGAGCAGGATATACCACAGAGCTTCAAAGCCACTTCAGCACTGCAAGGCAAAGGACAGACCTAAGAGTAGTGGGCTTTAACCTACTAGATCCTTTAATCCATCCCCTCTTTATCCCCACTGCCTCAATCCCCACTACCACTTCCATACAGCTGGGGCAGAGCCTGTGCTTAGGTTGCAGTGCGGGTGATGGAGTTCTGGGCATACCCATGGCTTCTCTGAAATGCCTCATATGGCCACAACCTGCTGCAAGGAAGGAAGATGCGACAGAGGCTACAGAGGGAAAGGTGTGCCCCGCTTGAAACACCACACCCAGCAACCGCTCCGTGCTTTCTTTTCTCCTGCTGCAGGTTTTTAAAATCTAAAAATCTGGAAAAGCCCTACTGGAGGCTGTACAGACCCACAACAGGGGCCTTCCTGCTGCTGACTGCCCTCCACCTCTGTGACCGGGTAAGGGCCCTGTGATTCTTGCACCCAGCACTGTCTGGCAGGGGAGAGCAGGGCTGGCTACAACCCTGCCTACTGTCTGCCTTGAGAGTATGTGGGCTGTTGTTAGCTGTGGAGGAGCAGATTGAAGACAAGAGAAACAGCCCTAAAATAGCTCACATAGAGGTTGTGAGGCCTGCTGTGACCCAGAGCATGTGAGCTCCCAGAGAGGCAGTGAGAGGAGCCAGCAGGAGCCAGTGCTCATAATCTGGTCCTTCTGGACCCCCATGCGGGGTCACCAGAGGAGCCCCAGCTGGTATCTCTGTCCTGTGCTCCTTCCCTGTTTGGGAACTGTGTCCTGTATTTCACTTAGCTCCCTCCACCTTTGGTACCCTTGCCCAGGGAGCTCTCCATCTTTCCCAGGTGAGTGCCTATGGCTACATCACGGAGGGGCATGAGAAGTACTCAGATCACTACTACGACAAGGACTGGAAGCGGCTGATTTTCTACATTAACCACGACTTCAGACTGGAGAAGGAGGTGTGGAAAAAGCTTCATGATGAGAATATCATAAAGCTTTACCAGAGATCCTGATTGTGAGGCAAGGGCCATTGCTTGGGAAATCTCAACACCTCACTGTGAACAGAAGAGGACCACCAGAGCCAAGGTTAGTTCTGGGCTGCCAGGCACATTTCATCCCCACAAAGACATTTCCCTCCTTCAGCACCTCTGTTCTTTCACAACACTTGCACAAATGTGTGAATGCTGCAGACCCAGAGAAGAACAAGAAAGTGCAGAGTGCCAACAAAATCCTTGTGGCTGTGCTGCAAGACTCCTGCTGGTTTTTGTAGGCACAGGTATTGGGTGAACAGAATCCAGGATGGATCTGGACAGCATATGTGTCCTTTATTTAATCCAAGTTTTCTCTCTGTGGAAGGAGGTGTTCCTCAGGCTGGAGCTCCTTCTGTTCTGGTGGATCCTCTCCATTAGTGATGCCCACTGTGGAGTTGGGTATTGTCTAAACAAGCTCCCTCAGGAGCCAGTGGATGGAGATGCACACACAGGCCCTGTCTCAGGTTAACTTTATTTCTGGAGGTGCTGCTCTCACTTTGCTCCCTGCAGATAAAAAGGATGGACTGGACACTTCCAGGTGACTAACTCAAGAGAGAATGAGTCTCACTTCTGCTTCCCAGTGTGGCTTTGGGACACTTCCAAAGGAACACTGCCATCAGCTCAGGGGCAGGTAACTGCTCTCCGTGGTGCAGCAGACATGCAGTACCTGGTGCCTCTTGCTCCAGGGATCCCATGGCTGCACAAAATGTGAATTTTTTGGCATGGTACTGGTGTGCCAAGTCCTTGCTTAGCTGGACTTTGTCATGCTTGGCTCCCAGCTGTGCCCAGAGCACTGTGTCTGTCCTCCTGCCAGGGGAGGTGGGAGCTCTCCAAGCCCGGGGATGGATGCTACCCTTCCTTGCTGCTGGCTGGAGTGCCTGTCCCCCACGGTGCTGTGTGCAGGACACATGCAGCGTGTTGGCCTTCTCAAAGGGGTTTTGTACATAAAATAAATGGCACTACTTTGGCCAAGCTGATCTTTCACTGTAGCTCTGTGGGTTGTGGTTATTTAGTTCATCCAGAGCTGATGCTTTAAAGGCTGAGACATAGCAGATAATGAAGGCAGGGAAGGGCAGGGCTGAAGGTTATTGAGATCATCTCCATCTCTAGAAGCTCTGCAGTTTGTGTGGACACACCTGAGCATCCCCCACTTGTTCATCTGGCTGTTGCAGGACAGGGATCAGCGCTGGCCAAACACCTCTCTGAGGAAGGTTTGTCCTCTCCAAGTGTATCAGATGCTCAAGGCAAATGTGTGAAGGGCTGGATGTTCCCCCCTGTGACACTATGCAGACAAAAAGCCACTTCCAGTGTCCAGGGCATCTCCCTGGAGTTAACCAGCTGCACACTGGCTGGTCTCTGGACCTGCTCTGTCTGTGAGTGTTTTCCCATTTCTGCAGCATTTCAGATGGGGAAGCAGCGTCTCCAGGGACTCCCTGGAGCCCAAGGGAAGCATTTCAGCTGGGATTGTCAGCAGGGTTTGTCAGGCTTGATTTCCTTTGTCCCTTATTCCTTGTGCTGCCGAGAGGCCAGGCAGTTGATCATGTCTCATTGAGCTTGTTTGCAAAGGACAGCCCCCCACATTTTGAATCTAAATGCAGAATTCAGCTTCTCTGGGAGAGGATGTAGCCTGCGTTGGGCTGCTCTGCCCATACACACTCACAGTGTCCGTGGGAGCAGGGAGCTACCCAAAATGCACTGTGCCTCTGTTGGGAATGATGTAGCCCTGTGTGAACACCAGGCCCATGGGGAGCCACAGGAGCAGACCACAAATCCTTCCTGAGCAGCAAAGGGGAAGCCTGATGGATGCTGGTCACCCTGCAGAGCTGACCGAGGAGGAACCCCTGCACCAGGAGCTCTGGACCCTCATGGAGGCTGTGCACCTCTCGTGTCCCCTGTCCCCAGGCCCTGCAGGCTCTCCCTGCCAGGGCTCTGGGTGGGCAGTGAGACACTTTTGTTCCTTGCCTGTCCCTCAGGCCCTACCACATTGCTGCGGGTTGCTTAGTGACCGGCTCCACACGGGTATTCTTCCTGCCTGAATAGGGCTTTTCTCTTCCCAACAAGTTGGAAGAAGTTTCTCTTAGACCCTTCCCTTCCCCCTCCTCCTCTTTTGTTTCCCTCTCCTCTGGGAAGCAGGATGGGGCTGAGTCCCACTGAACAAGGATCCCCCCGTGGGTGAGGAGGCTTTGGGGATGGGCTGGCAGCCCCCAGCCCATGCTTTTCCCCAGTGCTGAGGCTTCCCAGAGTCAAGGGAAGGAAACTTCCCAGGAGGCTTTCCCCACCAGCAGAATCTGTTCCCTCCAGGCCTTCCTCTCAACACAGTCATCACAGTTTGATGTTATCAGGGATAACTTTGGCTGGAGAAGGGCCTTTGCTGTGCTCTGGAGTTTCCCAGCAAGCTCAAAGTCACATCATCTCTGATCCCAGGAAAGCTGCTCTGACCTGGTGGTCCCCTTCACCTCCTTGCTCTGTCCCTGTCCCCCCTGGCAACAAGACCTCCTGTCCCACTGTGGGCTGGTTGAGGTGTGGCACACACCAGGACACATGCCCTGCAGCACAAGTCCAGCTGTGCCTCACCAGGGCCACCTGATCTTGTGGCATCGGATCCAGAGCAGCCACAGGAAGCTGAGGGGGCTCAGAGGTGGCATTTCCCAGCCAGCTTCTGTCCTGGCACAAACTAATGGAGCAAAACCTGTGGAGGGCAGATACAGCTGGAGCACCCTTGGCAAGAGCCAAGATCTGGGGCTTGGGCGAGATCCCAGCTGGGTGAGTGTCCCAGGGGAAAATCAGGACTGTGCCAGAGTAGCCCCAGCCTGCTGAGTGCAGCTCAACGGAGCCAGTGCCAGGGCGCAGGGCCACCCCAAATGTCCCCACCCTTGTGGCTGGCAGGGCAGCAGGATTGTCCCTGTGCCACCAGGTGGCAGCTCCTGTTCAGGGACCTGCCGGCACGGTGCCGAGGCTGGCACGTCCAGGTTTGGCACCGCGTCCCAGTGCCATGCACGGCCCTGCAGCTGCCCACGCTGCACCACGCCAGTGTCCCCCAGTGTCCTCTGCTTTGTAACACCCGCCTGCCCGCGGGATTTGTGGCCCGGGGGCTCCCTGGGGTATGTAGGGTCACATGGAGCAGAGATTTGGTACCTGTGAGTGCCACTCACAAAGTGTGTAAAGGTGTGGCCTCGGCTCCTGCAACACGACACGGAGCTGAAGGCAGCGCGGGCAGAGGGACAGACGGCCGGATTGGGTCTGACATCCCCCGGGGTGCTCAGACACAGCGACTCCTCACCCAGTGCCAGCGACCAGCAGGGGATTCCCCGCTGACAGCCAGGAGCTCCGGGGGCTGCAGGATTTAAAGAGACGTTTGATTTGGGTAATGAATACACAACTGTGTCTCAGCATGTCCAGAAGCTGCTCTTGTGTCAGCCCTGCTTTTTTCAGAAGCTGTTGGTGAGTACCGTGAGTTGTTATTAGAGCCGTGCCTGACTCCTCCTGGCGTTCCTCAGGAGTTAACAGCCTCTAAATATTCCCTGCCAGGTTGCAGGAACCAAAGCCACTTGTCACCCAGGAGTTCTCACACTGTCACCTTCCTGGCAGGGCTTCGAATCTTTTGCTTCCTTTCCACCTCTTCCTTCTTCCAGTGTGACTGCTCACCTGTCTAGCAGGAGCAGGCACCACCACGTCCTGCTGCGTGTTCACAGACACAAACCTTGAGGTTTGAGGTACCTGCCAGTGCTGGCAGCCAAGACCAAACCCAAGCAGGTGCTAGAGGGAGCCACTGTGTGTGCCATACACAGCTCCAAGGCAACCTTGTGCCATGATCCAGACTATCACTCCTGTCTCTCTTCTTCCCAGGCAAGGAACTGAGGCACAGAGCACCCAGAGCTTCCTGGCATGGAGCAGATGCTCCCTCCAGATGCATTGCTCTGGAGCTGCCATGGCTGATTGGATGCTGTGGGAGTGTAGCAGAGGCATGTGCCTGCTCCAGGTCAGCACAAAAGGCCTTGTGCTGGTGTCTTATCAGATGCTATTTATGTTCCCCAACTGCAGAGAGGTTTGAGGCAGGCCTTGGGTGTGCAGGGGTGGGGGGTTCACCCTCCTCACCTCCCGCTGTGTGGACCTTCTCCCCTTTCTTGGGGATGTGGTAGCAGGTAAATCCAGTTGGACCAGAAAAACTATTGATAATAGGGGAGGGAGAACAAGATAAAGGAGCAGCCCATGGCTTTGTTGTGCAAAAAGCACCAGCTGACCTGCCAGTCAGCCCTCCAGGTGCTGAGGTAGGGCCCTGCAGGTAAACAGCTCCGGGGGGTGCAGCAGCCCCTGCTTCCCATGCCAAGGGGCTGTGGTAGTCCAGGCTCCTCTACCAGACTGAGCTTGGGTGCTGCAGGGCTTTCCCAGCTTGGGCTGACCCAGCCCTTGGGGTGGTAAATCCTGGAAAAACACTCCTGGGGACATCCCAACGCTCCCTCCATTCCTCCCATGGCAGCCATTCAGTGTCAGATGGGACCACACAGGTGGGTGCATAAGGGGCTGGTGCCCACCCACACTCAGATATGGTGTCCCCTCTCCCCAGCTGTGTGCTCTGGGGTTGGAGCCTGGCCTGTCCCCATGGCCACATGGCTTTGGGAAGCCCTCAGGGACTGATTGCCCTGCTAAGAACGGGGCAGGATCAGACCGCATCTGCTCTGCCTGGTCCAGAGCTGGCAAGAAGGGGGAAGGCAGCAGTTTGCATTGTCACCCTAATTTTCCAGCTCTGCACCCCTCCAGGGCATAGCCCAGAGCCTCACAGGTCGCCTCATGCCAGCAGAGAGGGGATGGCCTTTGAACTGTGTGTTTGGCTTATCTCAGCCCCGGTCAGCGGTCCAGGGCTGGCCAAGGGCTCTGCCATGCACAGACACTGTGATAAGAGCAGGGCTGGGCCCAGCAGCACCAAGAGGAGCCAACATGAGCCAACCTAAGCCAAGTCCTGCCACCACTCGCCAGGTCCTGACCTGGCACCTCAGCCCAGGGCTCATCCCCACAAGGGGAGGAGCAGGAGGGGACTAAAGGTTGTGTTTCCCTGATGGGCCACATCCTGCCACACTGGCACAAAGATCAGCATCTGAGATCATTGAGTTCAACCTGTGACCCGACAATACCATGTCAACTAGTCTTTCCCAAAACACCTCCAGGGACGGTGCCTCCACCACTTCCCTGGGCAGCCCATTCCAATGTCTAATCAGCCTTTATGTGAAGAAATTCCTCCTCATGTCCAACCTAAACCTCCCCTGGCACAGCTTGAGGTTATGTCCTCTCATCCTGTTGCTTGTTGCCTGGGAGCAGAGCCCGACCTCCACCTGGCTACAACCTCTTTTCAGGGAGTTGTAGCGAGTGATAAGGACACCCCTGAGCCTCCTCTTCTCCAGGCTAAACAACCCCAGCTCCCTCAGCTGCTCCTCACAAGACTTGTGCTCCAGCCCCTTCTCCAGCTTTGTTGCCCTTCTCTGAACAAGGGCACCCCAGCTCAGTTCAGCTGCACAGATGCACCCCCAGCCCCTTTCCCCACCCACAGCGTGGGGTTGTGCACAGGGCAGAAGGGCAGAGCCTGTTGCTTGGAGCTGCAGGTGCCGTGGGGTGATGCTGAGCACAGCCCTGAGCATCTCTGGTCCCGCAGCCCAGCGCTGCCACCGCCCTGCCCTCAACCCCACGTCCAGGCATCCTCCCTGTGGTCACTTCCCCGCTCGCCTCCTGACTTTGGTTGCAGTAGCACCAACAAATCCAAGCAGGGAGAGTGTCAGGGAGCATCCACAGCGTCTTCTCAGTGCTATGTGTGTGACCCTGTGTGCTCCAGGCAGGGAGCCTGGCGAGGGGAGGTCTGGCTGAGGTGCTCCCGCTGCCCTCCCCGCCCCCGCCGGGAAGGGGCCGTGCGTCAGCCTCCCGGGACATCTGCTGATGAATTTTTCATGATGTGATGGCCGTGCCTCCTCAGGCAGCCATA